GCTGTCCCAGAGGCTTTGACACTAAAGGCCAGATCCTCAGCAGGAGGAGAGGGAGGGTGAAAATCATGGCAGATCATATGACGTGACAATTGAGAGAGATGCTGGGAGAATCATCCATGGAGGGGGAAAACCAAGTGTCAAAGCTGGGAGGGGGTGAGAGGGAAGTCCTTGATCAAAAAAAAGTGACAAGTAACCCATTACTTCAGTTACTTCAGCGTTCAGAAAGAATGGAGGGATATGTGTGTGGAAGAGTGAGTAATAAATAATGAGATAGAAGAAAAGTACAGGGGGAAGGAAGGGAAAAAAGGAAGAAAATGGAAAGGATATAGCAAGAGGAAAGGCAAAATATAAGATTAGAAATGGAAGGAAAGATGACCATCTATTGACCAAAGATAAACCACAGGAACAAAGATAGAAGAAATTCCTCTTTTTAATTGCATGCATATATAATAGAAAAAAATCAGTTTAAAACCTGTGAGCCTGGAACATATTTTGATGCTGGATCCCTGCAAGAGTCTGTGGATCACATGAGACTTGTGAATTAAAGTGGTCCCACACACTGGGGCGAGAGATAGCTGCTGGCTGGAGTCTGACAGTTTGAACATATAGGGTACCTGCATGTTCTCTGTCCTTGATAACCTTTGCTCCAAAGCTAGTGACACTATTACTGGAGGCTAAATGTCAAATACACGGATCAGTCCAATATAGGGTATTATGCTATCTTCAGAAAAGCAGGAAATCTTTTTGGGCAATTCACATTTTTCCATCAGAGGACCTCTGGGGCTCTAAATTTCTGTGCTTCCCTGAAGGTTCCCATAGGTTCATTTCTGATGCCCCATTAGGCATGGTTTTGGATAGAACCAAGAGCCGCTTTGTGAAATTAAGAAACAGAAACACAAGCTGGGTCAGGAACCATTTCATTTTCATCTTGTCGGTGTCTCATGGAGAAGTGTGCAGAAATGTATTTCCTGGAGTAAAAGTGGCCAAACTCCATTTACTCCATTTTATTAATGATCACTGTATCTTCTCCAGCATTATAGCTGCTTGGGAACAACTCCAGCTATTTACTGCCCTTCAAAACATACTATGAGGAAAGAGTCTCTAGCTTAGAAAGGAAGCTAGGTAGCTGCCACTAACAGTCTGCATAACTGCAAAGAAACACAGTTAACTGGGGAGACTATCTGTTTAATGAAGGATGTTTATTCTTTCTAGGTAGGCCAAGGCTGGATGACTCTCCAAACTGGAATGAAGTGCACTCAGGAAGAACTGGATATGAACCTAGTGAGATATGTCCATACAGGAGCTATAGGGTCCAAGAACCAAGACAGCTTCACATTTTATCTGTGGGATGGGTACAACAGATCCCCAGCTGTGGACTTCTACATAAATATCAAGGACATGGAAAAGGGTAAAGATCTGCTAGATTTGACTTTTTACAGTGCCTATTCCTGAAACAAAGATGATCTGACTACATGTCCTGATTCTTCCCTGAGCACTATATTGCCCCTTGGCAAGCCTCCCTGCAGATCCCGAAAGTCTGTCTGCTTGGATTTCACCTGCTGGAGAAGAAGTGGTACTGGGATTTGAAAAGGGTCTGCCTAAGGCAGTATGTTGCAACTTGCCTCCCAGGACTCCCAGCTACTTTTCAAGTAGAGTTGAAAATACCCTCCTGAAACTAGCTTTATGTCTGAGTAAATCAAAGCACAGGAAAATGGCAAGAATGTAATAAGGCACGCAAAACACTGTTCAAGAACAGCTCTGTCTCCCAGGTTTATGGCTAGTCTTATGGTCTCTCTTCCTTTATTGCACCCCTATTAGAAACCTAAATTAGACCAAGTTAACCTGACACTGTTAAGATTGGAACAAGGGTTTGGAGAGGTTGTGATGTCTCCATCCTTGGCAGTTTTCAAGCCCCGATGAGATAAAGCCCTGAGCAACCTGGTTATGGCTGATCTCATGGCTGGGCCTGCTTTGAGCAGAAGGTTGGACTAGAGACATCCTGAAGTCCCTTCCAGCCTGAATTTCTGTATAATCCTACAGTCCTATGATTTTCTGTTGGTGATGGCTTGCATGTGGCTAAATAATGCATAAGAGATCAACTTACATTTCAATATAACTATTTTAGTGTTGTTTTGTCTATCCTGCAGGAGACATTGCTGTTTTCATAAAACCTCTTAGAGTGCCAAAAGGGGATCGGGGCTACATTTCAACTGATGTCCTCCTTGCACTAGATGGTACTGACAAGCCAGAGGAGCTCCTCTATGTGATAACCTCCCCACCCCAGTATGGACAAGTAGAGTATGTTGGCTATCCTGGCATCCCCATTACGAGCTTCAGTCAAATGGATGTAGCAAGACAGATAGTCTGCTATGTTCACAACACAAAGGCAGTTGTTCCTGAAGACACATTCAGGTAAGGCATAACACCGCAGCCCCTAAACTTTTCCCCTTGGATTTCTTGGGTATTTAAAAACCCCCCACAAAACAAACAGAAAAACCCAAAACAAATTATTAAAAAGAGGTGGAAGCTCTGTGGGAATTCTCAATATTTATATAGCAAAGATATTTCTACTATAATACACATAGTTGTGACTGCTTTGGTAATAAATGCATTTTCTAATTGATGCTGAAGCTGTAGCCAGAGCCACATTCACCAATGATACTAGCTTCAATATTATTATAGCACCCAAACATGCACAGCTGTTAAGGTTTAACTGGGGGAAAAGGACTAAGAACATACTTTGTGGAATTTTCCTTTGGTTTCTTGCTACAGCTGGATGTGGTAAAACTGGGCCATCCAGGTATTAAATAACTGCTTTCTTGTCTATTCTTATTTATCATATTCCTTCAGTTCCAGGCTTTTTGAATCCATAAGTAGTTCTTGAACATACTGAAAACCAGTCCACTTATCTATTCTGACACTACAATAGCTCAGAAATTCATATAGACAATTGGATTTTTGGGGCAAACCTGGTTACTTTTAGGCCCAGTTCAGCAGCCTGGTGATATTTAAGTTCACTTTCACCTGGTTCTGAATCTTCCCCTTAGACCAATTCAGACTAGGTGCACTCCTAAAGTGAATTATTTCCTTATTTTGTTCTTAAATCTCTTAGTTATAGAGTGGAATGATGTAATGAGTTATCATCAGGTAAAGACAGAGTAGACGTATTCTTGCTCAAAATCTCAGGGACAGTTTTGTAAAAGACAGCAAATTCAGGGAAAAAAAAGCTCAGAAATAAGGCAAATGTTTCTAAAGGAAGAACGCTAACTTCTTGCTAGCATTGGCAATTTCCTCTGAAAACAGCTTTTGACAGAAGATGGACTTCCTGTAAAATTCAAATTTTCCACACAAAAATAATTTTTTTTTTCATTTGTAACTAAGAAAAATGAAGGATTTAGCTCCGAAGAGTTGCAATTCAGAAAAGAGCCTTTTTTACACTATCTTATGAATAGATTCCTGATCTGAATGGCATTTTCCATGATGCATGATGAAGATTCAAGGACATGTTGCGTCATCCAGTTTGAGAGCTTTTTTGCAGGGAAGTCAAGCAAGTGGGGCGCGGAGACATCAAATAAACCTCCCTATGACACTGGGGCAGCTCAGGTGACATTATCTAGAGTTAAGCCAAAAGTAATTTTGGGACTTTCCTCAGTTGAAACATTTTAAACAAACCCTTCCACTACATTCAATGTGGTGGAAGTTCTGCTTAGGAGATTTGTCTGATCCACTTGTGTTCGTAACAGAAAAAGTGAACAAATATTCTCTGGCTTTATGTTTCTTGATTGTGAAACACTATGATCAAAACTAGAATTAGCTTAGACAAGTAAGGTTGTAGTCATGCCGACCCTAGGTCAGGCAGCGTAGGAGTGGCTTGCATCAGTATGACTTCTATACCACACTAATAAAAGCAGACCAAACAATTCTAGGGAAACCGTGCATGTGGATAAACCCAATGTCTTCTGTTTAGGCAGATGGCTAAGAACCAAACAAGAAAGTCAGCCTTATGAAAGTAAGGTTATGATGCTTTAATAAATATTGATATTCAATAACTATTTTAATCACAATAATTGATGTTCCTTGATGTTATCATTTGGAAAAGAATTTGGTTTTGTGTAGACATATAAATATTGTGGCAGAATATTATTATTATTTAAACAAGGAATGGTTACATTAATTACATGGGTAATTATGGGGGGGGGGGGATTAACTGATCAGATTTTTACTTTCCACTGAAGTACTTCCTTCAGACATAAATTTGCCTGTATTGTTTGGTGCTGCTGGCCTGGAAAAAAGATTTGGCAGTGCTTGTTTGGACAGATGACTTCAAGAGATTAGCAACCTGACATCAGATGCTGGCAGCAGGATACTAAAAGAACATGCTAATGTCCTCCATTTTGACACGCTGGCTTGATTTTGTAATGAGCTGGCACTATTTATGATTCCATTTTTATCTTTTAAATGCCATGACAGATGCTAGGTCCTACAGCCAACTCGGTTGCCATCAAACTGCAGAAAGCACGAAATGTTGGTAATGGTGAAATCAAACCATGCAACATGTCCTCCTAACTGTGCCTGAGAGTTATCCCCTAAAATTCATCAGAGCGAGGAGAATATTGGCTGCTCTCCATTCCTAAGGAAAAGATGAAGCAGCCATAAACCAGAAATAAACAACCAAAATCTCCCAAAGTGCAGAAAAAAGGATGTCTTGGACACAGGCAGCTTCATCACCTGTGAAATCAAGTGCTGCATCATAAATTTCAGTCTGATGTATATAACCAGAAGGTTTGCTCCTATCTGGTATTCTGTAGAAGACTGGACGAATCTTCAGTTTCATGAACTGAATTATCTGGGTCTTTCACTTAAACATTCTTTGAGACATCATCCAAATGATTTTACAGCCATCAGAAGAACCAGAGGAAACCCACTTCCGCTGCAATCTTGCAGACTTTTTGAGAGATGGTTAAGGTCTTGACTGAACGTGTTTTGCTTTTTTTTTTCCTTAGCATATTATTTATCATCATTATTCTAGTTCTGTATTTGATTTCAGCTAGATTACTAATAGCACAATCCTTTTACTATTGGCACAATAGCATTAGGTCAGTGCAGACAGATGTCCCTAGGTTCCCAGCTGGGAATACCATCCTCAGTAAACATATTTCTAACTGCTATATAGTCCCTGGTCTGCCTATGCTCATCCCCATCTGTTTCATGGCATACTGCCAGCTTACAAATTGATCAAGCCCTAATCATCCAGCATTGGTGAAGGCAGTGAGGAGTTTTAGATGGACAGTCTGTGTGACACAGTAAGCTACTCCATGACCTACTGAAGGTCACTAACATTCAAGGCAACAATAGGCCAGGTTCTGACCCTGTAATTGTTTAAATACTTCTTTGAGTTCTGCAGTCAAGAGAGCAAGAAGAGGCAGATAACCTAAATGTCAACCAGTCCCTGTTTCACTTATGTACGGTAGAAGGATGCTAGGTGGAAAGCAGCCAGCTAGGCAGGCCCTCATATTGTCCGAAACAACCGTCCTGTGACACCGTCCCATACAAGATCAGCTGCATAAGTGTAACTGTATGTGCATTCAAAGCGCTGGGCCTTGGAAGGTGGGAGGAAAAGGAAGGTCAGGGAATGCGAATAGTCTACCACAGGCAAATTTCTTTGCAAAGCAGACTCGGTTCTGGCTCAGGCGGAACAAACCTGGGTGAAAAGTACTCTTCAAGATGCTTTTTCATGTACTATGCAGCATAACCACAGAAACTTCTGTAGAAAGAAAGGTAACTCTTACATACTATATGGTGATGGGACACAAAGGATTGTGAGACATTTTCAAAGCAAAGCAATTTTTAATTTCATATACCCTCAAAAGTTTTTGGTACAGGCATGACAATGTGCAATGTAATTGCTTACAGAAAAAATACTTAAGTAATAATCTTGACATTGAAAGCTACGATGAATTTTGAAGGCTAAAAGATTGGTTTTCTCGTTATTTTTATCCACAACTAAATTTGTTAATAAATTTTTGCAGAACATGTTGTCACTTGTATGGCAAAATCCCATACCCAGCTGGTAGGTTTCCAACAGATTTTCTCTCCAGCCTTAGGCACCTTTATCTTTCTCTTGTTTAGGAAAGGAAAATTAACTGTAAAGCATAATCAAATCTTTAGTATATCTAAAGAAATATTACTTGAGAGAGAATGATAAGAAACTATGCTGCTATTAATAGCAATTCCCAGCATGGAATAAGAACTTTGCAGATCTGACGCTTTGATAAATACATGGTATGGACATCTACATTTTTAAAATTACCCTAGCAACTTGTATAGTTCTGCCCAATATTTTCCACAGAATCTTAGTATTTCAGTGAAAGCTTACTTGAGTTTTGCAAAGAAACATAAATCAATTCCTCTGAATATACAGAAATTTACAGATATAGTTAGTGCCTAAACAAACCCATAAAGTGAGATGAAGATGGATCTTTTTCCAGCTTGCTTTTTTAGATAGTTTTGGGCCTACTGGGTACAAAAAAACATTGTCCAGACAGACCAGGCACTTACACACCTCTTTCCGTAAGTTGTAGACAAAGCCAGCACTTTCACTGGCAGTTGCCACTACCGGGTAACCAAGTGAAGGTTACTTAAGGATGTGTACAAACGTGTATGTATGCACAATAAGCTCCACACCATTTCAGATTTGCTCCATCTGTATCTGAGCTAGAAGACTAGATCAGCTCTGTTATGGCTGCTAAAACTGATGTGTACATCCTCAAAGCCATTCCTCTGGCATTTACTCAGATTGCCGCAGATGCATTGTGACTCTTGCCATGTACCTGGCCATCTGCTTTCATGTTTTCAAGTTATACATCCACTCCACCCACATTCTGGGTTTGAGCTCAAACCAGCTCTACTACTTTTGCAGTATCAACACAGGCAAGTCCTGTAGTAAAGGTGTGTATTATCATTTCATTTCAGTACATGGTGAATCAAGAACACATGCTGAAGACTACCTTGCCTCTCTTTGCCAGATTCATCATCAGCAATGGACTGAGGACTAAGCATGGGACATTCATGATCTCCTTGGAGGCAGTTGACCACGCTTTGCCCACACTATCTAGGAATACCGGGTTAAGATTAGTGGAAGGCGCTATGGCACTTTTTTCTCCTGATGTCCTGCAGCTTTCAGACCCAGACACTGCCAAAGAAAACCTTACCTTCCTCTTGGCTCAGCTCCCGCAATACGGTCATCTCTATTATCGAGGGGCTGTGCTACTGCAGTACAATTTCACCCAGCAAGATGTGGACAACAGGGATGTTGCATACAAGCACCGAGGTGGAAATTCCCAGATTGACAGATTTACATTTGTTGCAACAGATAGGACTAATCAAGGCTTCATCGTGAATGGGAGGGTGCAGAGCGAGCCAGTGGCATTCACCATTCAGGCAAGTGTGACCACAGGCCTACTTAAAAGAGATATATAGCATGATAAGGTGGAAGATGTAGTAACTTTGATGAGAACTGGTACTTGCTGCAGCTTATGATTTAACTGAGGTATTTGTCAGCTAAAATGTTTCTTTCTGTGTCTGTGAATAATTAACCCGGAGAATTAACTACTTGCCACAATGCATTACTCAGGCAAAGAATTTTATAGAGTGCAAAGAGAGAGACTGTATTTAAGAGAAGAAAGACATCCTGCTTATATAAATATAAGCAAGTATATACTTACATACTCATACTTGCTAAGATATCTTACATAGAAATCTCAACCCTAAAGTTGAGTCCAGCTATGGGGAGGAATGAACTTCCTCCTGCTCTGCTTTCCCACTGTGGTACCTCACATTTGCATGTGAGGGATACTAGGACGACTTTTGATCTTCATGTCACAGGAATCTTGAATTACAGCCATTTCATTCCCACAACTGGACAGCCTGTCTTCCTTCTAGGAGTCTTTGTAAGATGCCTGTTCTTATTCTTCCTTCCTTTACTAGGATCTTTTTGCTCACTTCCCATTTCCTTCATTTTCAAGTTCTTCCCACTGTGTCATAGGCTCAGACGCCTTTGCTATGACTTCTTGTATGTATCTATTTGGCATGTTTCACTATGCAAAGCAAGCCTGGCTGCATTGTATGTCAAAATTCTGTATGTTTCAAAACACTGATACCAATGAAGTAACTTCTCCTGACCACAAAGTTTGAAGTTATATGATGAGCGAGGAGTGCCATTTCAGCAGCAGATGAGATATGGAAACAGCCACAACCGTTGTGGAGTGCTAGAAGATTCATCAGAAGTTGTGAAAGGTGGCACAGATTTGAGGAGACATATTGGCCAGGTCTATGACTGTGATTATCATAATCCTTAGGTTTCCATGCTTGTTATTGTAAAACAGAGGTGAGAAACCTTTGCTGGAGTTTTCATTTGCTATGAAGAAAATTACATCAAAAAGGAGAAGGACTATGGGGAGTGTGGGACATCAGGGCAGAGGTACACAGAATTTGTGCTGCCCTCCCCGGTGTGTGCTGTATCCCGCTGCTTGCAGCAAGCGAATGGGCAATCTGAGCCTGGAAACCTCTCATGGGAAGTAGTACTTAACTGGAGATCAGACGACTTCTGGAGCAGACTGTGAGTCAAAGTGGCTATTGCCACCCTGAGCAGGCTACTGTGCTTTTAGCAAAAGTAGGACAGAGAATATCCTCATGCTGTAAAATGAATATACATTTGTCTAACTTTGATTTAGGTGGATCATTTGGACAAAATGGCACCAAAAATTATTCATCTCCATTGTTTTTCTGATGTGGAACTGCTGAAGAATGGCAATTATGGGATCTATATTACTGCCAGATCCCTGAAGGCATCTGACCCCAATACAGAAGATGACAAAATAATTTTTAAGATTTTACGAGGTCCTCATTATGGCTACCTGGAAAATGTAACAACAGGTGCTGTCTTCTATAATCTCTGTATTTTGGGACATACCAGACCAGATTCCAAAACCTACCCTATTAATGTTTGTTTGATAGAGGAAATAAAAATTTCTTAGCAAACTTTTGGGCAAGGTTTGAATGTAGTAAGAAAGCTTTTACACTAAAACCTGAGTCTCAAATTCATCATGAAACCTCAAAGAGTTTGATGGTTAATAGCTGCCATTGAGAAATTATTTTTTGTTTGTGTCAAGAAAAAAAAAGATGAATATTGAGCTTGGCCATTTGATAAACATCTCCCATGGGAAGAAGTTGGCTGGGGCTTGTAACGAGCTGGGATGTTGCTGTTTAGCTATAAAACCAGGTTTCTGTAAGTTCAAATTTTCTAAGTGTTCAACAAAAGGAAAAGTTGAAAACAGTCCATATGAGCTACATGGTTCTTACTAACAGGCTTTTGATTCACCTGAATGTTTCTCTTTTTTCCCAGGTGGATTTATTCAGGAAGGCTTTAGCCAAAAGGATTTAAACAGCAAAGTCATACTTTATGTCATCAATCCATTGCGGGAAGTGAATTCAGACGACTTGGAGTTTCAAGTCACAGATGACAGTGGAAACTCGGCGGTGCCCCAAAGGTAGCTCCGACCCTGGGCGGTGTGTGCTGTGCTGCGCTGTGCGTGCTGACCCAGGGGCCAGTGAGCCCCTGCCGGGCTTGAAGCCGCCCAGACGTGAACATAGCTAGGACTCAAATTGCCGTTTCTTTTGTGGAAGAGTAGAGAAGGTTTCTTCCCCTCAGGGAAGTGAAATACAAAGGGCTAGCTCCTGGCTAGACTGGGGCACAGTTCTCAAGGGCCTTCGGGGCCTCACAGAAAAACATAATGGAGTTTACTCTAAGTGGCAGTTGGGCATTGGAGATTTGAGATACTGGGTGCTGAGGGACGGGACTGTTGCTTCATGTACATGGTGCTG